CGATCTGAATGTAAAAGAAGTTTTAAAAAATGCAGGTTTAGCCGAGAGGGAGTGGTTGATTTCAAGCAGTCCTTCATTAAACTGTTACCTTATTATGGTTAGAAGTTGTTTTCACAACCAACTCATAGATGTATATATCAGAACATATTTTCTATATTCCTTCAAGTTAAAGACCTTTTAAAGCTTTTAGAAGCGTCCCAAAATGTTTATCATAGTTCATTTTAATTAAGCTGTTAATGAATCAAATAAAGTTCATATCATTCAATATGTTTGAGGTCAAGCTTCCATAGCTATATATTTTTCATAAAAGAAGTATCAGCTAATTTATTTATTTTTCCTTATTTTCTTCCACATATCCTTTACATTATTCATTTAATTACACAAATATTAAGAATAATAAAAATAAAAAAGGCAGATGCCAATAGATTTACTGATTTATTTATTTTGCTCCGATAAACGAGATGCCTTCCCCGTTGTTATAGCAAAAGAAATCTTTCCTTGGTCTGGCTGGGTTTTCCCCCATAGCCACAAAAGTCATAAAATGATCTTAAGAAAACAAAAGTAAAAATGAAAAAAAGGCAACTAAGCAGCACGGAGTTGAAAACTGTGAAAGCGGAGCTCATGGGATGGCGTGTTCGGCTGTCCGCTGAGTATCTATGCTTTTCCCGGCATGCATGGAGACGGCAGCCTAGGTCCTTTTCGAGGGAAAGCTGGTACTGCCCTTGGCGTTTCCCCTCGTTGAGGGGGAAGACCCGTTTTCGAAGGAGAGACTCACGTAAAGCGGTGATAGCGTGGGACCACAAATCACGGCACATGGTAATTTGTTCCTTGTATCTACTCATGTGTCCAAGTCCTGTCTGCCAAGAATCGAAGCAAGTCTCAGGCCCCAGCCAGTTGAGAGCTTTTTGTTTATTGAAAAAAGTTCTGTCGTGTCAACATCTAAGGTCAATTGCGGTGTATACAAATACAGCAATAGGACAAGGCTTGGAGGTGAAGACCCCAGGTAAGGAAAGGTTGTACAGGTTTATGACAAAGTATTGTCGCAAAAAGGTTAAGAATGGGTTAACAATTAGGAGATAATATGTTAGATGCCAAAGGTTGTAGAGAGCTGTTGGTTTGTATGGCAGTAAAAAGGGTAAGAGGGAATAGCAAAGGTCGTTCAGGGCTGACACAAAGACAGCATCTCATCTTTTCAGTACGGCTCCCACACTTTAGGATGTGGACAGACGGGGATGAAGAGAAGGAAAGAGAAAGGTGGAGAATGGTTAATGGTTAAAAGCAAAAATAAATGTGCTAGACATCTAAGGTCATGCAGCACTATAGGAAAGTATATTAAAGGAGGGGTGAAAGGTGATAGTTGCTATGCGTCAGAGGAAGGAGAACAGGTTGTTATAAGAAACAAGGATATGACGTAGGTCTGATCTGTGAGAACGGAAAACTCGAATGTTCCAATGTAGGAGAGCTATATCACTTATTTTATGAGTGAAAGCGCCAGTACGTGTTAAGGAATCTGGGGGGGGGAGCTAGGAGGGTGTTGTGACATGAATGATTCCCGTGTGTATCCGGGAGGGAGTGGAAAGGATAGGGGGGATGGAGGGAGGGAGAATCTGCGTATAGTTGGAGTTGAAGGGGATGTGTTGTCTTGAGAGGGATTAGGAGGAAGGAGTGTAGGGGTACTATGAGTAAGAGGGGGATGGATTTCAGGAGGATGGATATCGGTGGTGGACGGAATTGAGGGGGTTAGGTTGTGTTGAGAGGGAGTATAAGGAAGGGGTGTAGGGGGAATATGAGTAGGAGGGGTATGGATATCGGCAATCACTTCAAGTGTGGAAGGAGCATGAGTTATGGAATTTTGTGTCTCAAGCATATAGCTTTAAATGTCTTCCATACTTTCTGCAGTGGAGTTGGTTGGAGAGTCTTGTGGGACAATGGGTTTCTTATGAGGGGGGAAAGAGGAGACTGGTGGCTGAGGAGTAAAGGTAAAGGTATGTGGAGGTGAGTGTGCAGTACGGGAAGAAGGGGTGGAACGTTTAGTCTTTCTACTGCTGGTAGTGCGGGGAGGGAGAGGGGATGGTGTTGGGGCTGTAGTTGAGATTGGAGCTGTGGTTGAGATTGGGGTATCTGGATTTAGAGTGGCAAAAGAATTTGACTAGGGGAGGTTGAATGTAGAAGTGGAAGTGGTGGAAGTGGGGAAATAAGTAGGTATAGGGGAGGGTGTAGGAACATCTTGAGGGGGAGGGGGAGGGGCAGAGAGCGACATTACTGGAGTATGGAGTATGAGAGAAACCTTGTCGGCGTACTTCCTGTCTGGCTTCACGTAGAGTGAGACTATTTTTGTATCTGAGAGCTGCTACCTCAGACTCAAACTTGTAAGTGGGACAGCCTCTATAACATACATCATGGGGGCCGCCGCAGTTAGCACATGTGCGTGTTTGTGCAAGGCAGTTTGATTTGTTATGACCGGGTTGGGCACTGAGGGGGTATCGGTCTGTGAAGCGGCAGTGTTTGGCAGGATGTCCAAAGTGCCAACAATTTTGACATTGACGGGGAGAAGGTTGGTATGGTTGAACAGGGAGGGACTGTCCACCAATGTAGATACGAACGGGAAGGTCATGTGTACTGAAAGTAATTTTGGCAATGTTGGTGGATTTCTTTCGATGACCTCTAGGAGGAATGGAGTAGCAATGTGCTATCACTTCCTGGTTTTTGAGGCAGCCGAGCAAGTCTTCTCCACAATCTGACCAATCTTTGGTATCGACTGGGCAGTTTGCTGGGGAGATAGAGACGGTTCCGGTACAAGTATTAAGAGCTGGATGAGGTTCTGCAGGAATGGGGTTGCCAGAGAGATCAATTAGTTTTGATAATGCTATAGCTTTAGCTTCAGATCTGACTGTTACGAGACGGGAGCGATCGCGTCGGGTATGGAAAGGAACTCTGCCCACTTGTTTTTGGAGACATTGTTGAAAGAGAAGAGTATTGCCTAAGGAGCTATAGGGGGATCGCGAAAAATCGATCCCATTTAGCTGGCCTAAATAGAGTATTTAAGATACTTGTGCGGCTGGTGGTGGTAGAAGGACCGGCACGTGTGGAAGAGGAAGTGTTGTTGAAGGGGTTAGTATTATGGAGATGGAGAATAAGGCTTTAAGGTAGTAATAAGGGAGGTTGGGGTGTTTGATGGTTGTAGGGGTCGAGGTGATGAATTTGAGGAAGTTGGGAAAGTATGAATGTCTTCTGGAGATTGAGTCTCAGCTTGGGTGGGTAATGCACTAAGGAAATGTTTAGGAGCAATGCACTGAGGAGTGTTCAGAGTCGTGGTCCAAGGAAAGCCTGGGGTCGGGGAGCCGGTAGTCTGAACTGGTGGGGCTATTTGATGAAGGGGCAAGACCCATTGCCTCTAATATGGGTATTGCTTCATTATTGGTCATTGGAAGCCTTGATTATGTAGGGGAAATAAACAATCCACCCCCCAGTGCCCCTTAAGGGGGTAAGGGCTAGACAACTGAATCAGGGGAATACTGTGCCCATGGTTCCCGCAGGCCGTTCAGGACTGGCACAAGGTCAGCCTTTCATCCTTTCAGCACGGCTCTTACACCTTAGGAAGTCGATACTAAAAGGGGTTGGAGAAGGGACAGAAACAAAAAGCTGGAGGGGGAAAAGACCATGCAAAATTAGTTGAGTCGAGGGCTGGGGCCCTAGGCAGGGGAGATCCCTGCATTGGGTCTCAGTCTCCATCTCCCAAGCCCCCACGACAACAAAGGGCAAGGGATTGGGGGAAGGTGGAGAAGAAAAGACTATGCAAAATTAGTTGAGGCAAGGTCTGAGGTCCAAGGAAGGGCTGAACCCATTTGGCCTGTCTCCGTCTCCTAAGGATAAGAGCATAGGATTAGGAGGGTTGATAGTGACATAGCTACTTATAACTCTTGCTAGATAAAATTTTACCTTGTTCTTGTTCAAAGAGGACTCCTGAGCAGCAGCAATGGTTTGCGTTTTAAAGTGCTACAGGGTCCATCGGATTGTTGAGTGTTGTAAAGTGATCAGAGACTGTCCAGGCGAACCTCCAGGCACAGTCCTCCTCCCTCAATAAGTGTCAGTGAAACACCCTTCGGTTGCCACTGAACAGTTTTGAAGTCGGACCAGAGAGTAGCCATCGATCTCTTTGGCTACTTTAACCATCTCAGTAATGTGTGGGTTTGATGGCCAGTATAATTATAGAAAGGAGTTTGTGACCGCTCTGGTAAATTAAACCATTAAATGTCAACATTTTAGTAGTAGTAGTAACGGGACAGACTGTTTATGAATGAATGTCGCTTCAAGATGTGTCCATATTATTACGCAGAGCTCGAGCAGGCTAGAAAAAAAAAACACTCGATCTTAAAGTAATTAAAAAACAGTGTACATATTACTCACAAATTATTAAGATGGAAATAGTCAATCAAGACATTCCCTCAAACCTTTCTTTGTGACACCCTCTAGCCACTCTTTCGTAATGTAGTGCTTATACATTCATCAACTTTTGTTTTTTTCATGTGCTTAGTACTTTTGTTATTTCTTTCATAATTTCCTTGGACATTGAAATCAAATAATCATAGAGGCTATTTTTGGGCGGCATCAGTATGGAAGTTTTACCTCAAGTATAAAATTTTTACTGTTTCAAATGGACACCAAATACATGTTTTTTTTTTAACTTCTATCTCCCTGTCTTGTATGAATAAAGTTTTGAGCATCTAGAAAAAAAACTTTATTTTTATCCAGAAAAAGTAAGAGATCTTTACTTTTTTTTTTTTTTTTTTTTTTTTTTTAATTTTAGTCTTAATTGCAAATTGTACACAAACGGGTATTTTAACATTTACAAAACGATGTACAACATAAAAAAATTATTATCAAGTATTTACAAGCTACCCTGCATCACCTTTTATGGTCCAATGGTCTAAGATACCTCAGCAAGTATATGTAGTTTGATGATAAATGTAGCTAAGACAAAAGGGTAATAACAAAAAATACATATTTTACTTTAAATCTTGTATCTCATTACATTTATTACAATCTAGAAATCTATTGGGTAATTCCAATCAGTATATTGCGTGCCTCCTTCATTGTATTTGCTGTATATCTATATTGTTGGATACAAAATAAAATATACATAAAAAATCTTATGCACTGAATGATTACGTGCATCATAAGAAATGTGGCATCCCATGCATGACTGCATATCCCCCCCACCTATTGGGCAAACTCATACCCACATACACATGTATGTGCATACATGATTCATTTTGCAGCATTTAGGAAACTGGACAGTTAACAAATTGTTCCAAAATCCAATAAATCTTGATCTGTCTCCAGCAATCCAGTCTGGAAGCTGGTCATATTTACCCATAAAGGGTCCTTTGGCTTATGAATAACCACAAACAAGCACATATACTTCTCAAGCTTACCCTTATTGTACTTACAGTCTCAATTCTTTAGAGTGATGTTCACTTTCAGAATTTAAGAAAAGTTGCAATGAAGTATGTAAAAAAACCTATCATAAAAACAAATAAAAAAGGAATATGATAAATCAAAGGCTTGTAAGGCTAACAAGGTACAGACATTCAAAGAAAAATAACCACAATAATGTCATAATGATAACAATAATGATAATTATTACTGATATTTATTGGTACATCCCACCCAAGTCTGTATTTTTCTAGTCTCTTCTATAGAAAGATTATATATTCTTTAACCAAAATCGTAGACAGTGGGCAAGGTATATGCTTTCCATATTTTCAATTTTTTTTGCTGGAGTAGCTGTCAGTGTACAGTACATACTGCACAAACATATTACACCTTGCTTAGAATGCATAGCGAGTTCTAATGTCTTCTAATCTCTTTGAAAGTTCATTAGGAGTTTTATCCAAGTCTTCAGAAATACTGCGCTGTTTACCTGGATCTACCATGTTAAACTGCTCACACAAGTCTCCATCAATGACATTCTGTTGAAAGATGAGAATTATCTGAATTTTCACTTTGACATTCACTGTAAAACTGCCAATTTGACAGATAAAATTACATCTATAGTAGGAGTATAATGCAATTATATACAGAATTACACTATTTGCTTTCTTTCTTATCTATCAGTTTCAGTTCATTTTCAGAAAGAAATGTTCGTTTCTTACCTTTACAGGGAAAAAGTAAGACCTGAAGGAGAGGTGGTCTCGTCCACAGAGTGGTGGATGCTCTGACCGCATGTGCATCTCCAAGTTTTGGAATAGCTCATGGTCTTCTCTTGATGTAAATGGTACCAGAACTCCAACAGTGCCACTCAAGGTAGTATATACAAGAGACTCACTGCCTCCAGGGATTAAAGTTGCTTTCTGTAGGAGAAAAGCACAATGTCATAATTCATAGCTTTCCAGTACTTATACACTGCAGTGAGGAAAGACGTCACAAAGCAATAGAATTAATAGAATAAAAAGCTTGATGATTCTTCATGTTTATACAAGGGTTCAACTTGAAATTCAAATCAATTAAGAAACACTTCTATGTATATCCCAGGCCTCCCTAACACTCACCAAAACTGTACTGAGGTGGGACTGGATTCAATAAACTGACTACAGCCAATAAATCACTTGTTTGGTATTTCCAAGCATTACACTTTACAAGGTGAAGTTTATTGCAACTATCAGTTTCATTATCATGTAATTCACATTCAAGTATAGCAATTTCAAGAAAAGAAAAAAATGAGGTTCTACCTGTTTGAAAAGAGAAGGTGGAAGAAATAAAAGCAACAATAGCAATTATAACAATAAGATGTAGCTCCTACATGGAAGGAAAGAACAATATTTTAAAAGAGCTGTCCTGAAGAAATCTCTAATGACTCTAATTAACTGTGACAGGGTTACAAATGATAAACACTTAAAAATTTGCTTTATAGTTCTACGATATATAAATATAAGTACTTTCTACACGTGCTTTTCATAATTACACATCTAAGACAACTTGCACTTCTGGGTGTACAACAATATGAACCACAATAATATTCAATTTAGCAGGCAGAGGTATTCACATGTGGTAGGAAAAGAGTTGATTTCAAAACTTCAAAAGTTTATTTTTGACAAGACTAACTGCAAAGTTAAGATGGTACAAAACAAAACAATGATTCCAAATTAACATCTGTAATTTCATGGTCCTGAAATGTTAGCTATTTTTTCTCCATTAGTGATACTGTCTTATAATTCTTACTTAGATAATTTATGAACTCCATGTAGGGTTCTAAAATGATCATGCTTATATGTATCTCAGCTTTGAAAATGGTCTTACCTCAAGTGTATTAACAGTTTCTCCTACATGGAAGTTGGCAATAACTTCCGTTTTTTGTGAGGCACCATTCAGAAGACCACGGTCCCAGAGTGCCTTGTTTCCTGTGGGATCTTCATCAACATCATCATTGGTATCTCCACCTAACCTTATCTGTAAATGATTGGTGAGGATAGAGAATATCACTAAAAAAAATTATCTTCCAAATACAAAGGTATCAAAGGTAAAAAGTGACTGAAATTAGTAATATAAAGGTAGGTGCTTATGTTTTTTCTGTAAATTATATAAAATAAACAATGTACACATGGATGCAATACATTTATTTATACATAAGACTAAAATGATCATACATTCCCTTGACATAAGCATATAAAAACCATCTAAACCTCAGTTTGCAAATACTCACCACTGCAATGTTGCCAAACTTGTCTGCTACAGCTGCTGTATCATAATCAAGGAGGCAAGATGTTGTCACCCATCGCTGGTTTGTGTCATCCACAAATATGATGAGCTGATTTTCATGTCTTTTATATCTAAGCACAAACAAGCTTTCCTGAACATCACTAACAAAAACTCGCTGTCCACGTGCTTTGATATCCACAATCAGGTTTGGAACATGCTGTTAAGAGAAACATTTCCATTAAAATAATTCATACATAACCTGAGATAACAGAATATATTTGATTTGAAAAAAGGCACACATATACAGTATCTCACATATATTGCTTTTCCCTTTTAGAACAAAACCTTTACCATGAAAATCTACCTTATTTTCACACTTTCTAAGCAGTTTTTTCTTCCCTAAGTCATATATTCTAAGCAACCTTCCAACTCCTACTAATACTCTGCCATTGTATGGGCATAAAGCTGTTGGAATGTCTTCAACTTCTGTTCGATGAACTAGCTCTAGACTGGTACAATCACCAACAATTCTGGAGAGAGAAAATGAGAATTCTTTTGAATTCTTCTGGATTACTTTTTCATATTTATATATTGTTATTTATCTTCATTCAACAAATAATTTGTGCATTATCATCAGAAAATAAGATTTACGAATTATAAATCTACAGTAATGCTTTGCAATTATGATTATAAACTGTCTACCTTCAAAGAAAGAATTACCTGTAAGTGTATATATATCCACAGTCAACTTGACGTGGGCTTAACTGGTAGTCCTTCACTGTTCCAACCAACAAGAACTGCTGGTCCATATCACTCTGATTTGCAAACTTTACCAGGGCAATACTGTGAGAAAACAACCAGAGATTGTTTGTAAGATAAGTGATAACAATCAATTCACAATAGCTATAAACTGGAGTGACAAATAAAAAATGTTGAATAAAATTTATTTACCTCAAATTTCCTAATGAATCAACAAATATGTACTTTTAAGAGTATCAGATTCTATTTAGAAAAAAGGAAAAATTGCAATGATAATTCAAGACTGTTGTATCAGAGAAATCCTGACTTATTCATTAGTTTCTAATGCCGTAATAAGGCATAGAACACTAGATATGTTACTGAATCATGCACCATCCTTAGTTTGCTAACCTGAAAGCTGCTTCATTTTGATCCAATCTCATTGTAAAAAGGGTGTTTCCTTGAATAGGTTCTATAATACGAATGAGAGATGCCCACATCCCTGGCCCAGCTTTTGGTGCACCAAATACTGCATCTGGCAAGTCTTCTGAAAGAAGTGCTTCTGCCATGCGTTCAGCCACTTCTGCTTCTTCTTCTCCTGCTGCTTCTTTCAATTCCTACCAAGCAAGCCGGTAATAATAAAATTTTGGCAAAAGATTACAACAAAATATTTTTAAAAATATATATGTCTAACTGATACAGGCTATTTTTTGTGAACAGTCCTTTAAGATGATGATGATGATTTTTTTTCCTTTTTTTATGCACATTTCCATATATGAAATTCTTTGTGTTTGCCTTGATGTGGGAGGACATCTTTATATACCAAATAAATGAATTAAAATGTGTGGGTAAAAAAAATCAATAAAATTCTAACTAAGTGACACTGAACAACAGGAAATATTTTTTAACTTACTTAATATACAATGATGCTTATGAAAAGATTTTAAAAATTATATAAAGCATATATTATACATATTTCAGAATTGTAAGTTGAAGTTCCTGAGTGAGCAAATTTTGTCTTAACCCATTGGCGCCGGGTGTCACGTATGTACATGCCATGGCTGTTGTGGACCAAACGCCGGGGGCATCATGCCATGCCCATTCCCGCGCTACTGGCTCGTCGGACGGAGGTTGTTTTCCTCCACTAGTAGCGACTTCATTTATATGGTAAAGATTTTAGGCAATGGCATCTAAAGTGAAGGTAAACCTTCAAAATTTTAATATTTTCATAAATTTTTAAAAAATAAAAGCTTTTAGGTGCTATATGTTGCTCGCAAACTACCGATCGAGCCGGGCGCAAACAGGGGAAACTGCCAGTGCGCGCCAACAAGCCAGCATATACGTAAACTTGACAAAATTTTTACCCGTCGCTGATCGGTTAAATATTTCAATAATTTACTTTCTGAAGAGCTATATTTTTTTGCCTGCTCCAGATGATTCTCAAGAAATACATGAAAGTTGTTTTTGTTGTTGTTTTGCCTAATGACAGGTGTCAAGAGGGGTTGAAAGTTTGTACTTTAGACCAATCATCAAATGAACAAGCACTGTGCAACCTTACAAACAGCCACTCAAACTTGGGAAACCTGATAATCAGCCAATATAGGGAATTAGTCACCATTTTGCTGATATTAACTGCACACCCTGAGGACTGCTTGCTCTCTTCATAGTACTCAGGTTAAACTGTACCAATTCCGTCTCCTCCCATACGGATACTGGCTCAGCAACAAAGATATTACAGACGTTTTAAATCAATTTTGATTATTATTAACCCAAATTTCCTCCTGCCCTCCCCAACCCCAGGAATCCCTTTACATGAAAACTGAAACCATACATAAACACAAATTATAACTAATATTACTGAAAAATACACATCAGTGCTCCAGAACAGATATTCTCTTTACATACCTCTGCCATCTGAAGCTTTCTCTGTCTTTTGGTATCCTCTGTGTAGGCATTATGATCAGTCTCAATAACCACCAAATGACCACTCTCTTGATGGATGACAAATTTGCGTGGCGTATACTCAAGTGGATGGGATACCTGTAATCAAAAGGATTTAAATGAAAATTATGACTAATAACTTCCTTCTCTTTACCTTTTCCTCATATCTCCCACACTCGTTGAAACCAAATAGGCTTGTGTATGTTATCAAATATTTCAAAAACTATTAGTTCCCTTTAACTGCAAAAAGAAAGAAGAGATTTACCTGATTAAAGACAGCTCCCAGTTTTTCCAGAGCCAAAATACGCAGCGTGTTGGTGGAAATTGCTACAATACCTTCAGGGCACTGCTCTGAGGAGAACCCTGCAGCATACTCTAGACTTTCATATGACAGTGGTGTCAAATGAAATCTGTTCTGATAATAGTAAGACAGCCAGGAACGAGAAGACATAGCAAGAACCTGCAAAGAAACACACGGTATAGTTTCATAAAAACCCTCTTATGATACAGGAAGCAAAAGGTTATCACATATATATTTATTGGACTTTTTGTATATGCAATTCTTTAGTTCCTTTTCTGTAAATTCTTTAAATCTCTATCTAGTCATATATTCAAGAAGGCACAATAACTCCAGCTTAAAAAGAGATATATATAATGAATTGATTGTCATTACACTGGAGGTGATACTCGATCAAAAGTTTTAAGGGGGCCATCGCACTCGAGAACGAAGTTCGTTAATTATGGAGAGAGAGAGAGAGAGAGAGAGAGAGGGGAAAAAAAAGTTATGTATCTCAGTTATCCATTGACTGATAAAAAAAAAAAAAGGTTCATTGTTAAAAATTAAAAAAATATGATCTATGGACTTTTTTTTTTTTTTTTTTTTTTTTTTTTTTTTTTTTTTTTTTTTTTTTTAGAAATCTGAAATCTCCATCAATCTTGATGCATTCTATGGTATTCATATAGTATTCTGGAGTGTAGCTGGTACCTGGTCCCCCCAATTTGCAAGGTACTAATGGCAATAACTGCACATGATTGTAGAAGTACCACATGTCATCACAGGCTTCAGTGCCTTTACAGTACCTTGTGTGGCATTTCATACAAATAAACAACTGGTGCAGCTGTGACTGAGATGTATTTCTCATCATATTATGTTTATTAGTTACAGGAATAACATCTATCATTAGTAGTGTCCTCTTAGTGTGTGATGAGGGTGCAATTACGGGATGGTGTCGCGTCAAGGCAGTGCAGCCTCTTGCTCTGTCTCTCTTGTGGCTGTCAGTTGATTCAGAAGCAGAGTTGCTAGTTAGTTATCAGAGATTGTCACAACTTCATTTTTTCGTATTTAGCATAAAATTTTACGTCACAGGATTGCCTAAGCCTACTATATTACAGATTAAAATTCTTTTTTCAAGTATCTTTAAAAATATTTGTTGAAAATTCATTGTGATAGCCCCCTTAAATTTATTCACTGAGCTACTTACAGCTTCACTTCCTTGCATAATAATCCTGAAAAGCTTGACGGGTCTGGAACCCAAGTATCGTGTCCGTGTATCAGACATATCACCAGTGACAGAATCTAACACAGTTCTTAAGAGCACACCATTCTGTAATCAAAAAAGTTATTAGGAAGATTATACCTGTTTTTATCTCTGTATATTCAACAGTGAATTATATATCATTTCAGTTTATACATTAACAATTCAATCAGAAGAAAAACAAAAATCTTTTACCTGTAAACCAATGTTCAGATACAGTGCACCCAAAGTGCGAGATTCACTCTCTGACCCTTCTTGTCCGCCCATCTCGATGATACTGAGAGATTCTGGTAGTGCTGGC